GCAGGTTTCCGCGCATTGACTTGATCAAAAGCAAGTACCCGGTCCAATGGCTCAGTCCAGAGGATGATCTGCGTTTATTCCTCTGTGCTCAAAGACGCAGACTCATTGTTCCCACTAAGTAGGGTGAGTCTGTAATAAGGAGGCAAGTTAACGTTCAGTCTTGTTACCGGAGCATATACAGGATTTATCCGATGAAAATGTTTTTTAAAAAATGAATTCTTGAGAACACGCGCGTGCGGGAAACTATACCCGCGGGCGCGCGAGCGTAGATGTGCCTGTCCCACTGTCAAGAAAGGTGTCGGCGCACTGAATGCAAGCGAAAGCAACCGGCTGTCCCACAGGCTGTTCCAACTTTAACAACTGTATTAACTTCCAGGGTAGTGAATTGAACATGCAATTGTAATTGGGTGTGTGGTATATTTTCATGCACGGACACGCATGTTCCACAACACACAAACTGAACAACACTCAATTTTCCGATCAGCGTCCTTGCGATCTTGTTATAATAACAAGTGCACGTTACTGATGCAATATGGTTGAGACCATTCGGGCTTATTCTAGAGGGGTGCAAGGAATAGTCCAAGTAGTGGGGGAGTTTTATACAATATGTTTAAAACATAAAAATAAAAAGGTTTTAAAAAGTTATTGTTTAATGTTTTAAGGAGGTGACGCTACTCAGCCAATCAAATCGGTGCAGTCAGCACGATAGATTCAAACACACACAGAGACACGACAAGAGGAGAGAAACAGTCGGAGTAATTTCAAATGGCGGAAGGTAGACAGCGAAAACAGAGCATTTCATTACATTTTCTCTTACTGGACCTCTTTGAAATCCAATCGAATACCCCTGCATTATAGCAACAACAACAATAATAATAATAATAATAATAATAATAACAGCAATAATAATTGGGAGGGGGGCCGCGGCTGTTCTTATGTTCTCTGAGGGGAGGCTCACCTACCCACACTTTGAAAACCCCTGGTCTATATGATAGAGAACTGTAGCGGATACGACCCCCGTATCGTCTCTGTGTGGCTAGGGCATAGACTCCCTCTCAATACTGACATCAAGAACTAAAGACAGAAGCACACAACATTTTTTCTCACATAATCCCATTGTGATAATGGGTATGTAAATAGATTGATTGTTGGAAGACATGTCTAAATATGTGTTACCCCATTTGTACATTGAACGTTAACTGCCAGCTGTTCAGGCTTGAACATCTGCTTCAACCTGTCCAAATTGGGTCTAAATTGATCCATATTTGTACGTTTATTTGTATCCACTACATATTTCCTTTACAGGGAATTTTTTGCGTCCATATGGGCTAAATGCTAACCTAATTTCTTCTCTACTAGTGCTTGTCAGGTTTGTCTATAGCTTATTTTTCTAAGTGGCTTTTCTGTTGAGGGTTGACATGTGGTGATCAGGAGATAACATCATGGACCAGATTGCAGAAACCATCTGGACGCTTGGACGCAGGTTGGTGCAGACAGACGTAGGGAATCACAGACTGCATCAGAGTGTGGAGAGCATGGTGTTGTTGAGTGAGCCGTCAGGGACATGTGGAGCTTCAGACAAACCAAGAGCGGCTACTGAAAAAGATGCAGTGCAGCTGATCATTTAAGATAAAATGTGTTTGCATTTTCCTAAATGTTTCAACCTTTACACTTGTGATTTAGAAAGGGAAGCATGTGTTTACTTAAAGATATATGACAGGGTTAGTGTTAAGACTTTCAGCTGGGCAGACATAAACAGTGTCATGAAAATAGTGGTAATGTATAAGTGTCCCAAACCACGTAATAATAGTAATTTAGTATTTAATGGACTTACTGATACAACTGACCTACATTGTAGTCCAACTTCTCGTTTTGGCAGCCACCAAGCATGTGTGTTAGTTTCCTCTTCTGAAAGCTTTTAGGATCATTTGATTTTCACTATTTCATCTGAGTACAAACAAAAGTACAGCAGAGAGACAACAGAATTTGGAATTTAATTGTGAAACTGAATCACATCATATGATGAAAAGAGACTACAATCCTTTTAAAAAAGTCCCCATTATAATCCTCTTCACTCACATGTTATGTTGTCTTTGTTTCTGTCACATGTCTGTCCTGTAAAGGTTAATGTAAATTTGCAGCTGGAGCGTAAAAAAAACAAAAAAACTGGATGTGGTAATAATTCAACATGTCAAAACCGAGTACTGTTTCCTAAAAGGTTTCCGGTCAGCAAGTTAGCAACCAAATTATCCCGGTAACAGCTCAAGCATGTATGACTCAAGCCTTTAATCATACCATGTTAGTCGGCAAAAATGTCATCACATTTGAACAAATGCCAAAATAAAAGCCCTTCAGCAACCAGGACCAGAAATTTGTCAGCAGCTGTCGTGAAGAGTTATAACATAGCCTACAGACTCTTTAACTCGCCGGGTTGAATAACATAAATAGCTGAAGATCTCCGCTAATTTGTGAAGTGAAATTGTTTATGCTAGCGCTAATGTTTAACAAAAGTGACAAAGAAGACAAGAAATGTACAGCATAGAACTTCCCTGTTTTCAAATGTGTAAATATTTTCTGTTCCGTATTTTTAACAATAAGATAGAAAATTCAGCATGCAACGTTCCACCACTCACTCAGGCTGCCACACGCTCTATTGATTCTTACGCTGAACGAGGCATCATGAGACACGCTTCTCATTCAGTTTTGTCACAACATACACCAACAGTCTGTCAGGGGAAGTGAAAATGCTAAGTCAAGACTAACCATAGCTAGCAGAAGTGATATAAGCCAAGAGAAGCTCGAAAAAAGAAAAAAAAAACTCCCACCCCTGCACATAATGACATAGGTGAGAGACAACTTGCTCCATTCTCGAAAACTGGACGCCAATTTGAAGAGGTGGAAAACATTTCAATGAGATTGTTCGGATCAGTCCACATTAGGCATGGGACATTTTATTTCACGACTGCTCTAGCCAAAAAAATTGCAATTCAAAAAATGACACCAATAATCATTCAAATGGCACTAGACGTACTGGAATTACTTGACCTTACATTTTGTAAAGTAAATAATGATTTTATTGCATCACAGTTAGGATATTTTTCAACAAATTTTAAATAAGTTACATAGC